TGACATCTTGTTCCAAACGTTTTTGGATAATTTTCAGCAGAATCTTGCTTCCATGTGATATCAATGATATTGTTCAATAATTTCCGCACTCTGTTGGATCACCTTTCTTTGGAATGAGAACAAATATCGACCTTTGCCAGTCAGCCAGTCAGCTGGCTGTCCTCCAAATTTCTTGGCACAACTTAGCACATCCAGGGCAGCATCTGTTTGTTGAAATATGTCAACTGGTATGCCGTCAATAGCTGTAAAGGAGAAAGATGAGTAACTTCCTTCCATGGGAGAAATCGCCTCTGGAAACTCACCGGAGGCTCAGCTATGAATCAGTGTGAACTCAGAGCAGCTATGGGAAAGGGTTCCTACTGGAAATGGCTGAAAATTGGGTGGAAGGAAGCAGGAAATGAAAGTAGCACAAAAACATGAGAGAGGCATGAAACTGCTTGATAGAATCCTGAATTTAAAAACCATGTTAATGTCAACAGTCTCAAAGAATAAATATTTAAATGAAATTAATCAAGATGTAGCAGAGAACCCTAACTGAATAAAAACCATAACAAAGGGGGGGGAAGTGTATCAACTCCACCTTAATCAGAAGCAGAAGATAATAACTAGGACTTTGTCTTGAAGGTTTCCCCTAAGTAGGCCCCTCCCTTACCTCCTTCTGAAATGCACTTGATGCCATCTTCTCGGCAAGGCCTGGGGCCTGCTGGCCAGCATGGGGCTCCTCTCCCTCACCTGGTTATCTTCCTCCAGGGGACTCGACACTCGACACTGTCTAAACGATCCTGTTTATCTGTGTATTTACTGGTTCACCCCAGCTAGAAAGCGAGGCCCATGAGGAGTTCTGGAGTTGGTTCACAGTAAGTGTCCTCCTCCAAAGGAGGAAACTGAGGCACAGAGAAGTGATGGGACTTCCTCACTGGGCAGCTTGGGGGGAGGAGGAAACTGAGGCACAGAGAAGTGATGGGACTTCCTCACTGGGCAGCTTGGGGGGAGGAAAGCCGATTGCATCACATCACTCTGTCTTCCGCTTTGTGCTCATGAGCTCTTCCTCTGCTGAGCTGTGCTGTTTAGTGTTTGAGAGACTAATGGGAAAGATCAGGGGTTCAAAGCCACTATCTGCCCTCTAAGGAGAGAGCTTTGTCAGTCTGCTTCGGGGCAGTTTACTGCATCCTTCAGGTCACTCGGAACTGAACCGACACCATGTTAACGGGCACATCTGGACCAAGTCTCTGTCACTCTCAGTAAGCGTGCATGCCCGAGTGTCAGGCTATCCTCCCGGCTCCACTCCAGGTCTCTAACACAAGAGCTCTTCTTGGCTAGGGGTCCGCCACCTGCTCCTGCGACGTCTGTAGTTCTACACCCAGCAGGTACTCAAGTGTTAAGCCTTCAAATGCATCAACTGATGACCTCATTGTCCTCTGCTCTGAGCAGAGCACTGGAAACATTAGTCTTTTACCTTAATCTCTAGCTGCTCAGAACACAAGTAGGAAGAAAGGTCTGGAGAATGTTGGCCAATGCAAAGCAGAGAACAAAGCACTCGCACCAGCTGTGTGATCTGCCCTCCTACTACCCTTGGCCTCTGAGAGACAGGAGAGGACAGACAGTGGAGCACTGCAGAGGGAGGGAGCAGGAATTGAGTTAGGGCATACAAGATACCAATGGCATCTGGCTGGAAGGGAGAAGACAATCGGACACGGGCAGAACCACCCCACAAGTGCGACACCACAGCCAAACTGCAGAGAGGAAAGCAGGAGCACAGGGATTTGCAGAACAGCCTGAAAAGCAAGGAGCGCTGTGTGATGCAGTCCCAGGCACACGCACCTGCTTGGGCCCCAATGGACCCTCATTCTCCTCCTTCCTACTCCCCACTCCCCCCCACCCCTGGCACCCTCAGTGTCCCTGCTTCCCCAACATGTGGGTTCCACACTTGTCTCACTCTGGCCTATCTCCAAGAGCCCAGCACTTCCTGTCTGAGCAGGCAGGGTCTCACCATCAGGGCAGACAGGACAGGGTCAAGCAGTCCTGCAGGGGGACGGGGATCACTCTCCTCTGGGCTCTGGACTGGAGCTACCTTAGTGTTTACCATAACGACTACACAAGGAACCTACAACCACAGCTCCTTTCCAGCAGAGGCAGCAGGTCACACACACAGTGACACAGAAAAAGAAACACTCCGCTCTAATACGGTTGGACAAGGCAGGGCGAGCACTCTTAGTCCCCCACGGGATTTTAACCCTTGGCGACTGGATCCTGCTTCTAAGGAGGCTGCTGCCCAGAGAGGTGAGGGAATTGTCTGAGGAGGAAACGGCCGAGAGGTGAGCTGAGGTCAGTGGTGCCGCGCTGGACATCAAGTCCAGCACAATGGTGTGTGTGAACAGCAGCATTACAGTGGTCTCTGCAGTCCCTACAGCTCGGGGGAACAGGAGGCTGAGACGCGCCCCCCAGCAGGGCAGGACCCCGCCCCACAAAGCACAAAGGACGGAACCTGCAGTGCTGGACTCTGCACTACGGCCCTCCAACCTCGTGCTGCAAATCCAGGAATCTCATTTGGACAAAAGGTTATCTTTTTGTTTCCTTGACCTGATTTCTTGTAAAAGAATAGAACCCATGATCACTGTTAAAAAGAAAACAGAGCTAAAGCATGTAAGAATAACAAGGTAAGGGCCTCCCCGGCCACTGGGCAGTGCATGTGCTCCACGGCTGGGGGCAGTGGAGATGTTTCCTTGTTTTTAAGTTTTCATTAAGAAATTTTAGTAGAGAACATGTTTTTGTGGTTCAAAATTCAAAAGGGACAAAAAAGGGCTACAATTAAGACTGACCACCTGGCCCAGCAGTCACCCTGTCCCCTGATCTCCAGGCTGATGCTATCACAGCTTTTCATGTCAGTACAAAGGTAGTGCACACACAGCCCAGCAGACAGGGGAACACTGTGCCTTCTGTCTCGTGCACAGAGGGCAGCCAGGTGAGCGCGCTGTTGTCCAGTGGCCTGATTCCCTCCCTTCGTCCCCAGGACACAGCCTTTCCGGTGAGCGCACGGCTCTGCACCAGCCAGATTTCCTTACTGCTGGCCCTGGACATCAGCCTGTTTAACTCTGCCATTCCTTCTGGTTTGGGAATGTGAAGGAAAGCACGTCCTTTACCAAGTTACAGGGCACAGTGACAGGCATGACTTTAGGCCGAGAAGGAGGGGAAGGCTGGGAGTCTGAACAGTGTGAGATAAAGACAAACCACAATACAATTTCTAAAACTGGAGATTGCTCTCCCTCTACTGCCTGAGAGTGCCCAAGAGGGAGTCCTGCGTGAACAAGCTTACTGACAAAGTTAACAAACAGGAGAAAACCCCACGAATGTACCTTGCTCGCCGCTTTCAGCTGGAGAATCCTCATGTCGAAGGAAGAACTTCACCTCCTCTCTTCGGGGACCCCACTTCTGCAGATGCTCATACATCATGTGATCAAAGGGTATGGGCCGCTCTGGGGAAAAGCAAACACACATCTCATGCATACCAGAAAGGAGATACCCAGACCGAGAGTTAAAAAGAAAAAGTAAGCACACACGTACAAATCTATCAGAATCCTAGATACTGCAAACACTGAATTTCAACCTTCGTGAAATAAATACAAGCCTACAAATGGAATGAATTAGGCAACATGGAAAATGTAAGTGGTGTACCTAATAGAAAGTTTTGCCGCACTAAATACGGAACTTTTAAAAAATCACTGTTATGGCACAGTTAGCACCAGGAAGCAGTGTCTTGTTGTCAAAGACCACAGAAAGACTGGCCACACTGCGAACGAGCCAGAACGAGACCTGTGGCCCGCAGGGGTGGAAAGCCTGCGCAGCGTGCTTCCTGGTGGATATCAGCCACGAGAAATTGCTGCGCAAATAGTAAGCATTAAGTTCTAGAGAATTCAAACACGTTTCCACAAAAAAAGAAGTAAAACTCAACAGATTCTCTTTTCCAGTTACTATTATTAAAAAAAAAAAAAAAAACAAAAAAAGAAGTAAAACTCAACAGATTCTCTTTTCCAGTTACTATTATTAAAAAAAAAAAGAATACAATCTAACTGGCCTCTGACACGTGTGAGGATTTTATGCACGTGATCTATCACTGTGTTACTATCACACTGTCTGCAAAAGAATCAATTTAGACGAAGTCTAACTACCTGGAAGGTTAAATCCTCACTTAATTGTATTCAGAATTGTCTTCTCAGCACTTTGCTCTCTCATGTATGTATTTAGGGGCATCTGGCCAAGTTCTTTTTAAAGATACACTTTAAAAAAATTTTTTTTTATTTAAATGTATTACTAATTTCAGTAAAAAATTATAGATTTTGGATTTCCATTCATTCATTATTGCACTTTTCTCCCCTCCCAACCCTTCCCCCTAAGAAAAATTCTTTCATTGTTTTACAAACCCTTCCCCAGGTCCACTCCAGCATGTAGCCTTCACTCTAGACTCCTGTCATGACAAAATACCTAATCACATATCTGTTTTAAACAGTTTTCTCCCTCATCTGTTTCAATGCAGTATACATCATTGAAATTGTCTTTCTCAGTCTCCCCCCAACGCCAAGGCCAGTCCTGTTTTACAACAGTGGCACTATGCAGTATTTGTCCTTTTGTGACTGAGATACTTCACTCAGCATAATGTCCTCCAGGGTCACCCATTTTGAATAATATTGCATGAGTTCCTTGTTTTTCAGTGCAGCATAGTATTCCATTGTGTGGATATACCACAGCTTCTCTATCCATTCGTTTGTTGATGGGCACTTCAACTCCTTGCTATTGTGAACAAAGCTGCAATAAACATGGGTGTGTATATATCTACTTGGGGTGGCAGTTCTGGTTTTTTTAAGGTATATTCCCAGTAGTGGAATTGCTGGGTTAAATGTTATCTCTATTTGCAACTTTTTGAGAAAGTGCCACACCATTTTCCACAGTGGTTGCACCATTTTATACTTCCACCAACAGTGAATTAGGGTTCCAGTTTCTCCACAACCTCGCCAGCATTTGTTGTTTGCTGTTCTGTTAAATTTTGCTATTCTGACTGGGGTGAGATGATATCTCATAGTTGTTTTAATGTTCATCTCTCTTAGAGTTAGGGATTTTGAACTTTTCTCCATGTGCTTGTTAGCCATCTGAATGTCGTCTTCAGTGAAGTGTCTGTACACATCCTGTGCCCATTTTTCTATTGGATTATTTAACTTTATCTTGTTGTGGTGCTTAAAGATGCACTTTTGACTGGAATCCCATGAATAAATAAGCTGATGTCGAAGCATCAGACCAAGAAGAGGGGACAGTTTCTCGCTCATTCACTTGGGCATCGAGGCCCTAACAGGACCACCAACACTCTGCAGGAGAAGGCTGGAACATCTTGTCGATGTCTTCTTCTGCCTCTTACCGATTCACATCTCTCAGAGCTGGACAGCCTGTCCACACCCAGAAGTGAACAAGTGCACACATTCTTATTAACCAAATCCCAGGCTCTCTCTGGATTTACCAGTTCTCTCGTGAATGTCTTTGCTCTGCTCTGGTATGTGGTCAGGAAATCTCACTGCGCTTAATGGCATGGCTCCCTGGCTCCGGCCCGGGAGGAGGGCATTCTCGGACATGCTGCTTCTCGGGGCCCCAGCAGCCGAGGTGCTCTGCTCAGACGGTCTGCAGACTGGCCTCAGTGTGGTCTGCCTGGAGTTCTTCTCACTGTTAGCGCCAGTGGACATGTGGGGTTCTGTGTGGAGTTCCCCAAGGCTGCTGTAACACACCTCTCTTCTTTCTGCTTTAACGGAGATGCGTCTGAGCTCCAGAACCACTTGAGAGATGTGCTAAAGATTTCTAAAAGTTCTCAGCTTTTTATTCCAGTTTGCTAATAATTATGACACGGTTGTTGTTGCACTTTTGTTATATGCTATCAAGTCGCCTGCAACTCATAGCGCCCCTCTGTACAACAGCTCTGAATCCTGCCCTATCCTGAGCCAGTCTCACTGTCTCCAATATACCTAAAGCCACGGTCCCAAGTTTGCCAGCGTTGCACTTGCGGGGATTTCTGCCTCCACGTGCAGAGTGAGGTTGGCCTCTCCTCTTCTCAGCACTTGTTCAGTGAGGCGTGGATGTTCCACTGACATGCTAAATGCCCCCAGTGGTCTCCCTCTTTTCATGACTCTAAAGTCTATGCTGCATGTTCTCAGGAGTCTGCTGAAACCTGTCTGTAAATCCATCTGGGCCTCAAGTCCTCAGCAGCAGACAAGAAGTAATAAAAACTGGGTCAGTGGATACATAATAATTCAGAGCTAAAGAAGTTACTTCCAACTGTAATAGAAACTTCAAATAGAACAGAAGGTGAAGTAAATGTTACATATGTAACATCTGATTCTTCTTCCTTCAAAGACTTCTTCTCATATTTCTCTGCTTCTTCTCTTAGATCTTCTGGTATAAATGTCTGTTTTTAGTCGTAGTTCAAAAGCTTTGTCCTCTTTAAATTTTTGTTTAAAAAATGTATTAATACTTGAATGAAAGTTCACAGAAAACTTGGATTTCCTTTCACTCATTGTTGCACATTTTCCTCCCTAGCCCATCCCAGTTTATTTTTCTCTTTGAAAAGATTCTTTCATTGTTGAAAAGCTTTGTCCTTAGCTTCATCATGTACCAGGTGAATTATTTTTGCAACTTCTTTAACATCTTCCTAGCAGGTCCTTTCTTCCATCCGAAGTGTTTCTAATTCTGTCTTTGCAGTTTGCCTCGCTTTACCAAGAGCACAGACCCAGGAACCCAACGATAAGAAAACAACGGATGGCCAATTGTGCCCCATCAGGCACTGTAAACACTGAACAGGACACTATAGCCTACAGGTCTACCAGCACCGGGCAGTGCAGCATGGTCACAAGGCTGGTCTGTCTGCTGGACACTGCCGGGGAAGGTCACAGCCTTCAGACGTCAGATTAAAGTCTAAAGCTTCTCCTCTCACTATGTCCAGTGATGAACGTGGCAAACCTGCTACGCCCTTCCAACACGCTGACCTTTCAACACACTGACCAATGTCCTTCTAACACGCGGACCATTCAACACGCTGACCAAAGTCCTTCCGACACGCTGACCATTCAACACGCTGACCTTTCAACAAGCTGACCATTCAACACGCTGACCAAAGTCCTTCCAACACACTGACCATTCAACACACTGACCAAATGCCCTTCTAACACGCTGACCATTCAACACGCTGACCAAAGTCCTTCCAACACACTGATCATTCAACACGCTGACCAAAGTCCTTCCAACATGCTGACCAAAGTTCTTCCGACACGCAGACCATTCAACACGCTGACCAAATGCCCTTCTAACACACTGACCATTCAACACGCTGACCAAACACCTTTCTAGCACACTGACCATTCAACACACTGACCAAATGCCCTTCCAACACACTGATCACAGGTCGTTACAGAATGACTGTCAAACTCAGTTACTGGAACCTTCTTCACAAAGTTTAGAAAGGACTAGTTTTTTTACTCCAAAGACACCGCCATCTTTACACTTGATCCCAATGGCTGTGCTATTTCCACAGCTTTCCCAGCACATTCACCTTGAAAACCTCCTCCATCAGGTGAAAATATAGAGGCTGACTGGCCACACGCAGTACCCACAGGCCATAGTGATAAAGAACAGATTCCACTTGTTGACCAAGCTCATTTATCAACACCTCCTCCTCAGTAATTTCTGCATGAAGGTGATGTCCCTGAGTTATCTTTCTTTTCAAAGCGTTTACCAGTCACCAACACGCTCTCATGTGCTGTCAGTTTCCCTCGATCAGGATCTAGGTTGTTGGGCAACACAATGTGTGTCACTGTTCCTGAGGGTCTAGGCTGTGCCCGGCACGTGAAGTGCTGGCAAGTAGACTACAATTCACTTCCTCTCGATGAGCAACAGCCTGGAACCTGCCCCGGCCCGAACACCCTCAGGGTCCTTGCCACACCGCAGCCGTCGCTGCAGGGACAGTGACAGGGCTTCTCCTTACGGGGTCTCCTTTCTCTACCTGACCTCCACCTTTCCTAGGGTGATGTATTTTTCCAAGGACTGGTCTTTCCTGACAACACATCCAGAGGTGGATTCAGGAGAGGCTGTGAAAGGAAAAATGTCACTGTCAATGTCAGGTGGACCTTGGCTGAAAGCAGGGAATACAAGATATTTCCTTGTGTTTTACTGACTATGCAAAGGTATTCAACGGTATGAATCATAAAATATTCTAGGTAACACTGAGAAGAAGAGGTATCCCAGAACACGTGACGTTGCTCCTGGAGAAGACATGGCCCAGAGTCAGGAAAGCCTATGCACCAGTCTGTAGGCTTTCTCCGTATCTATTCAATCTGTATGCTGAGCAATAGTTCAAGAAGCTGGACTAAATGAGAAAGAGTATGACAGCACGACTGGAGGGTGATTTCATCAACAACCAGCTTATGCAGATGACACAACCTTGCTT